AAGATCATTTCCTTATTACCTATTTCCCCCTTGTCATGTTATTACTTCAACCTTCTTTTGGATGTTTTACCCACCTTAAAATGACACCTAAATAAAGTATAGTATTATGTTTCGTAGTGAAATATGGCTGAATGTGAATTTTATTCATTCCATGGTGCTAGGTAGGACAAGCCATAATGTTTGTCCTACCTAGCAACAATAAGTATGCAATGTATGTATGTAATTCGCATTCTGACTATTGAATTACAATTATTTGTAACAGGTGAACGAAATGATTTGCAAAGAGGCACTTTACAAACATTTGTGCATTGATTACATTATGAAAATTGTCTATTCTTCTTTTTCTAAAGTGAAATACAGTTGAATAGAATTCAATGCTTTGAAAGTCTTCTTCCTGGGGGGCAAGTTGCGGTTAATTACATTTTATAATATATCCGCGAGTGCAAAGCAAAATTATGGTTGGTTAGTATCTTATCTTACGGGCAAGTTGCCCTGCTGGTAATACAAACAACAAAACATTTGAAAAAAATATCTGTGATAATCTAAAATCTCATTCATGAAGATTTATTTCAATTTTTACTTTGGAATCTTATTCATGTACAAGCGATAAATGTAATAAATAAGCTACACAAAATCAAGATTATTATAATTCTTTTCTGTCCTTGCCTATCGTGTTGCTTCAGATTAATGTTGCATCCTTTCCTCTCATTTGTTGATTTTTATCTTTTATTTAACTATTGTACATGTGTGTTTGTTTGAAGTGATAAGCAACTCTATTACATGAACAAATCATGACGGAGGCATATTACACTATCCTGCGGAAAATCCCTTTCAAAATAGAGAATCCTTGGCTGCACCCAAAGTCAATGTACTTTTAATGTAGCGAAATTCCTCACACCACTAAAGATCTATACTGCATGCTTAATAGGGCATGCAATACAAACTAAATCACCATTGGCATACATTTCCTCTATAAAAACATGTCTCACACCAGGCTGTTTTGTAACTTTTCTATTCATAACCTTTTTCTTTTATTTGTGATTACAATGGTTATGCCTGAATGAAGGCTACTCACAGGTGTTGAATTAAATTATTAGGGCAAATAAGAGATTAACTGCATGTATGTTACACCGTGATTCAACTGGTTTCTCTTTCACAACCCTAGATTTTAGCGTTAACTTCCTTTTCCTCATAATCAGTCATTTCCCCAAAAAAATTCTTTACTCCCAAATGCATGTTTTTTGTTTAAAAAAAAACTCTAATCAGTTTCCTCGCATCAACATATTTCTGAAGACTTAATCGTGTTTGGTCGATAGGGGTAAAATTTTGTTGCTGTACCTAAAATATTTGTAAAAAGAAAGGCTTGCTCACCTTCTTCAAATTCAAAATATATCCATGCAGTATTACATTGGATATCATAGAAGATTATTGGTAATAGGATGAAAAGTGAAGCAAAAAAGAACCATTGTTAAAAGCTTGTCTAACAAAACTACATTTTGGGAGCATGTTTACAAACTTGGTGAAACATTTGTCAAGGTATTAAAATGAAGAAATAAAAGAAGAAAGAAAGAATCCTTGTGTTCTATTTTGATATATGATCAAATGAATGGATAGGGAACAGAAAATTGATTGCTGTATTTTGTATCCAAAGCCACAATTATGGTAGCTTCCATTGTTTGAACAACTAATACATTAAACAAAACTAGCGAGTGGGTGTTAGTGTTGGTCTTTACCAAGGTAATTAGGTAACCTTTCTTTTGTACAAACCAGGATAAAATAAAAAATATCATGACCACAGATCAATAATGAGTGAAAATAACAACAATACATGAAATACCTGCATGATTATTAGTGACTTGCTCAAATATTTGATAAAGACCACAATAGCCTTCTCCTGAAGGGCAGCGATCATTTTAGTCTACTTGAACAGACTCTCGTTTGAAACCTATATAAAAACATATTGGTCCATTTTCTAATAATTCAGTAAAACTCGACCCTGGGTCTGAGATCACATTTAACAAGAGGAAACTTGAAGCTCAACTAACTTCCTTTGTAAAACCTGATTTTTAACAAAAGCCTAAATCCTGCATTGGGTTTATAATTTAATAGAATACAATCCATTAATGGCTTGGACCGAGCCTAAACCAGTGTAACAATGGTTTGTGTTAGGGAGAGTTAATGTACAGGATCTATGTGAGATTTAGTCTACAGTCTGGCTAGATCAGACCCAGCATTTTACATTGGTAATGACTGTCAAGGGTTTTTTAATGAAATCTAATGAGGACTTGTTTGTTTTAGGTCACAGCAATTTGATAACAACGAAATCAAATAAAACCAAAATGAGAGTAATAACAATCAAATCAATTCCAGTTTCATACAAATACATTTTGAAAATTGACGTTTAGCAGATTGGTTTCACAAGAGTTGGTAAATTACAGTCATTATAGTTTGCCTTTGATAAAGAACTATACAGGAATAGTTTTTATAATGTTAAAATTGAAAAAAGTATGATACAGAAGGGAAGGAGAGATAGTAGAGGAAGGGAAAATAGAGTGTGCGACAGAGAGAGAGAGAGATAGACAGACAGACAGTCAGACAGAGAGACAGAGAGACAGAGCAAAATAGAGGGAGAGAGAGAGACAGACAGATAGAAATAGAAAAGGTCATAACCACGATAAATGTATTGGGAAAACAACTTTACAATAGTACAATAGGAGTTGTTGAGAAAATTCCCCCATTTTCCCCCAATCTTATTTTGAGTTTGGTTAGCCCAACCCCTAATAGCTTGAATAGTAAAGCCTTTGTTATAAAACCACAATATGACTATGTTTGGATCCTAGGAACCAGTGGCACAACAGAAAGAGTAAAGAGGAAAATAAAAGGGAGATAAAAAAGTTAAAAACCACATCAGAATGATTCACACCTCATTCATAGTGAGGCAAGGGAGCAGGAAGCCAGTGGTAAACTATAACAATCCATAATGTAGCCGCCATTAATATTTGAAGAGATCAACCCTATTATGACAATTTCACTAAATTTTACTTCCTCATAGCCATAACCAATATTTTGTTTCTTCCCCAAAAGTATCCCTTTCAAAGCCATAGACTATTCATACCACCAAAATCTTAATAATTCAATTAATTCAGACTTTCTGCAGCCAACTACTCTTTAATGCATTTTCATTGTCATTTTTCCAAGACTTGTAATGAACGGTATGTTTAATAGTTATAACTTGTTTAAATAGCCAATTTAAATAGCCTAGATCTCTGGCCTTTAAGCTACAAGTATGACAGTGAAAAATGATTATGTAATTAGGGTATCAAGCAAAATTTAAATTTGTTTTTCTTGCAATTGATAATTCAAAAACATGTCTCAAGTTCGGGATCAGGGGATTCAATTTCTGTTTTTAATGAGACTTGTGTCAATATATGCATCCTGGTGATAAGGTTGCCTCCTTTGTCAAGTAAACAAACCAAAAGAAAGTCAGAGTTGGGAACTCCCCATATTTGCTTGAGATAAGCCCCCCCCCCCCCCCTCAGTATTTATGCAGTGATTGATTGCAAATTATTGACAAAGAGATGAACAAAGATCACGGATCTCATACAGATTTCAACAAATGCCTGTGATTTTACTACCAAACAAGCCCCCTTTATGAGTCCTACCTCACGTAGCCATTGTCCAAACATGACAATTGTACTAATAATCTGGGATTTTATCTTGGTCTCAAAGCTTCACGTCTATTTTTTCTTCCAAACTTCCTCGTGTGCGTGTTTGTCTGCTCATAAAAACACATTCCATGTTGACTAAAGGAGAATGTAAAGATATGATTCATAGAACATGAGTATCAATACTAGAAAAGATCAATATACTTATAAAATCCGTATATGGTTGGAATCAGAGTGCTAACACAACACCGGCGTATTTACACAATGAGAAACGAAAATAAGATGAAATCAGAGATATTCATCTTGGTGGGAATTCACAGCAGATAATAAAGCATTCATCAAAATTAAGAAGAGAAGGGGGATTCTGAATAAATTCCTCAGAGTAATACATGGCAGGAATTAATTCCTTGAAATGCTAGAGCACTGTAATGGCAGCTAGGCTAAAGTCGGGGTAATATTTAATTTGTATGCCTAAAAAGAGAATTGTCCAGATAGACAGCGCTATATAAATGCCTATTATTATTATTATCCGGTAGGTTCTAAAGTGACCCTATATGAAAAGAATAAGAATAACGGCTTACAGAGGGGCATTCACTCAACAGAAAATTGTTGAAATTAATGCCTTATTGTACATGTTTGTGCTCTACATGCTTACTACTGAGGATAATAGATTTCACAAACTTTGCTTAAAATGGTGCTCAAGATTTGGAAGGATGAATTACAAATCAAAATGAAGTAATTTCAGACTTTGTAGAAGGGCTGGAGGGAGGGGGAGGGGTGTGGCAAATGGACCATTTTTGTAATGTAATCAAGTGTAAAGCACGAACCTTTATTAAGTGCCTCATTACAAATTAATTAATTCACCTGCTACAAATAATTGTATTTCAATAGTCAGAATGCAAATTGTATATAATAATCATTGTTAGACAGGACAAACATTATGACTTGTTTTACCTTACAACACGTAATGTATGCAACTTGCATTCTGACTACTGGTATTGAAAATCTGAAAGGAGGCACTTAACAAACATTTGATTCATGACGAAAATGACCTATTGATCCCCACTAGCCAATACATGGGTTGAGAACCTAAGAGACTCATTAGAATTCCTGTCTGGTTTGTCTAATAAATATGCTGGACTTTGGGCTTTGAACAAGAATGAAGCATGCAAAGAAAAAAAATCTTAACTATCCAAACACAGACTCACATGATGGGAAAACACCAGTTTTTTTTGTGACTGTTTACTCTGTATTGCATTAGCATTCCTTGAATTCAGGCATGGACCTACTCATATTAGGTCCATGATGCAAGTATGGTGCTTCAGTTTTATCAAAGCATGTGACAAAATAATGATATGTGCTTTTTGATAATGAAATATTAAAAGAATGTATAAGCTTGTACACCAAGCATTACAAGATATGATCTTCCCTACTTGAAAAGATAAGATTGCATTTGCTGAACAGGACGGGAGAAGAAGTAGGAGACAAACTTGTGATAACTTCTATGATTTGTGTTTGAACGTCAACCTTATTAAAATATTGGCAGTTTCTTTTGTGATTTCCCTGTGATTGCCCTTGAGCGGTATGTTTGCTTCACACCTACATCTCAAACATTGGCTGGAGTCTAATCGTTATTGCAAAGACAAATAAATCTCTTCATCCTCCAAATTTTACCTCTTTTTTTTTAAATCGGAGTAATAATACGACAAAGCATGTAATTCCCCCTCCCCCCGCCAAACACAAAAAGAAGTTTAAAATGATAATAATCATAATAATAATAATAACCTAGGCTTCTATAGTGCATTTCATCTCCAGAGAAAATATAAATGTGCTTTACAAAACAAGGACAAGATTAATCATAATCAATCATTATAAACATCAATTACGGAGAAATGAAAGCAAAATTATGACAAAGAACGTTAATGTTAACAACATTTTGATGAAATACATAACGCAGTTTAAATTACATCAGAAAGCATTTTTGAACAAGTAAGATTTCAGTTGTGATTTAAAGAAAGTTAATTCTGTGATGGTTCGAAAGGTAGCGGGGAGAGAATTGCAAAGACGTGACATCGGACAATAGGGCTTGTTTTGGTATCGCTTGCATCACGAGCAGAGTGAATGCTCTAAGCAAGGATATTTACGTTACAAAACAACAAGTTATCATTTTTATCATGGGAGTCGATATTGGAGGTTAGTGGGTCTATATCCTCTTACTGTGATCATTAAACTCAAAAAATAGAAATGCAGACTATGCACTTGACGTGCCTCTATTTTAAGAACTAAGGAAGATGAAGAATAAGGTCTCGACGGCCACTTTGTTTCATAAGGGTGCTGTTTATTATTTTTATGACTAATATCATAACTAATTGAGCGGAAACTTGCTTTATAGCCGTAATTAGACTTTCTAATATCTAGGGCTCATAAGACACTTACGAAACTACAAACAAGATGCTTCATAGATACTTTCTTCCTGCTGGTGTAAATGTGGTCTTGAGATCACCTGATTACATTATCAAGTGGTCCCCGGTAGAATACAAGGGGCAGCTCTGTGTCCGTTGGCAAGTCATTTACCTACATCTGCCACGTTCTACCCAGGTGTAGCAGATGGCTACCTGGTTGGAAAAAATGCCTTGAAGGTTTGATGTTCTCGTACATGTATATCAGCCTAGCTCTAGCCTGGTACCAAGAAAAAAGTTTATTTAGATTAACCTGGAACTAAGAACTATACATTTCTACACCATTAATATCATTTTCTATCAATATTGTCATATCTAAGACAATGACGGGCAATGACGTAGGTTTTTATCTTTCCCTTTGAAAGGATAGTAAGAGTTGGTCTTTGATAGGCTAAAGAGGGTTTTATTCGTCGCCCTTTCTTCTCCTCTTACAAAAAAGTTTTAGAAATGATTGGTCTTTAAGGCAGACGAGGCTTTACTCATTGGTTACCATATTATTGTCTGATCTCTCTCTCTCTCTGTCTCTCTCTGAAGGCTCATGTCCCCATTTGATTGGCTGATCCCTCTCTCTGATAGCTCATGTTACCATGTGATTGGCTGATCTCTCTCTCTCTCTCTCTCTCTGATGGCTCATGTCCCCATTTCATTGGCTGATCTCTCTTTTTGATGGCTCATGTCCCCATTTGATTGGCTGATCTCTCTCTCTGATGGCTCATGTCCCCATTTGATTGGCTGATCTCTCTCTCTCTCTGATGGCTTATGTCCCCATTTGATTGGCTGATCTCTCTCTCTGATGGCTCATGTCCCCATTTGATTGGCTGATATCTCTCTTTGATGGCTCATGTCCCCATTTGATTGGCTGATCTCTCTTTTTGATGGCTCATGTCCCCATTTGATCGGCTGATATCTCTCTCTGATGACTCATGTCCCCATTTGATTGGCTGATATCTCTCTTTGATGGCCCATGTCCCCATTTGATTGGCTGATATCTCTCTTTGATGGCTCATGGCCCCATTTGATTGGCTGATCTCTCTTTCTGATGGCTCATGTCCCCATTTGATTGGCTGATCTCTCTCTCTCTGATGGCTCATGTCCCCATTTGATTGGCTGATCTCTCTATGTGATGGCTCATCTCCCCATTTGATTGGCTGATCTCTCTCTCTGATGGCTCATGTTCCCATTTGATTGGCTGATTTCTCTATCTGATGGCTCATGTCCCCATTTGATTGGCTGATCTCTCTCTCTGATGGCTTATGTCCCCATTTGATTGGCTGATCTCTCTCTCTGATGGCTCATGTCCCCATTTGATTGGCTGATCTCTCTCTCTCTGATGGCTCATGTCCCCATTTGATTGACCGATCTCTCTCGCTCTGTTGACTCATGTCCCCTCGTGATTGGCTGATCTCTCTCTATGAAGACTCATGTTACCATGTGATTGACTCATCTCTCTATCTGATGGCTCATGTCCCCGTTTGATTGGCTGATCTCTCTCTCTCTGATGGCTCATGTCCCCATTTGATTGGCCGATCCCTCTCTCTGATGGCTCATGTTACTATGTGATTGACTATCTTCGTTTCTGATGGCTCATGTCCCCATTTGACTGGCTAATCTCTCTCTCTGATGGCTCATATTACCATATGATTTGCTGATCTCTCTTTCTGACGGCTCTTATTACCATTTGATTGGCTGATCTCTCTCTATGACGGTTCATGTTACCATTTGATTGGCTAATGTTCTCTCTGATGGCTCATGTACCCATTTGATTGGCTAATCTTTCTCTCTCTGACGGCTCATGTTACCATTTGATGGGTTTGTCTTTGCACTTCTCATGCACATAGGTGGAAAACTTTCTAAGGAACTTGGGATACTCTCTTTTGTAGACTGTCCTGAGAACAGATCCTGGAACCCATCCACCTGGATTGGCTAGGGTGACAAAAAACAGGAGAGGGTAACAGATGTTAAGTCACTTCAAATTTTCAAAAGAAAAGAAGTCTTTAGGTACAATATAAAGATACTTTGTAATATGCCACTGAAAGTCATGTGTCTCTATGCAGTATAAGGCTTAACTGTGAGGCTATACTTATACTGTAAAATTGGGTTTGTGGGATTTTATTTCCTATTCATGTCATTAAGTGTGTTTGATGATAACTAAAAATCTAGATGAAAAATGGAGTAGAAAAAAAGTGATCAGTGACTTAAACTGTGTCTCAAAAAGGGTGAGTGGGTTAAGTCTCAATTGGTATCACGGTGATAGTCAAATACAAAACCTTTCATCATTCAATAAGAAACTGAAACACAAGATTTTCACTTTCATAACTATCTTGTGAACTTCCTTCACGCAATACAAGTACTTATCTAAATTTTCTTTCAAGAAATAAAAGTTTGAAAAGTTCACTTCCTCTTGAAAACTTGAAAAAGTTCATAATAAGATGCTTTCATACTTTCTTAAAAACATTATTTTCTCAAGAGTTTGGGCCTCTTTGAGAACAATGGAAAGCTAAATCGGTATAAGTGGATTTAATAATACAAAACTTCTAAAGAAATACATGTACACATACAGCCTGTACGTATATATATATATATATATATATATATATATATATATATATTAATTGATGAAGTTCTTGAATAGTTTTTGATTTTTTTTTATATAATATGCATTTTCCATACACTTCAATTTAAGCTGTCTCCAACTAGATATTCACCAGGTTAAAATAATGAGTAATAAGTTTTTAAAATATACACAAAACCATGACAACTTTCCCATACAAATTATGATAAAGAACAATAATTTCAATCACATAGCAGTCTTACAAATTGGACTATGGCTTCCAAGAGCTTTCGATCATTAATACACAATTTATTCACTTAACAAAGTCAATGGAACTGAAAAAGCCAAATTTTAAATGACGCCTGCTATGAAATAAATAATGTTAGAATGTTTTCATGCCATTATCAATAGGGAGGAAATGTGTAGAAGGATAAAATAATAATGATCACATTTTTAATAAAGTAGGATGTGAAGAAATATAATTTGTAATAATTTCTTACCATGAGCAACATAGAAGATCTTACAGACCAGGTTCTCTCTGGTTGCTTTCTCTATAGGTATATCAGGTGGGTCGAGGAACGTCTGACATAGCATGCTAACGTTGACCTTGGCTCGTATGCATTTGCTTGTCTGAAACACACAAACAGTAATAAAAGCTATATTAAAGCCCCACTGTACTACTTGTAGCTACTTGCTCCCTCTATATAGAAAACTTCCCCAATCGGTGCCTGTTGGTCCCCCACGATCCTCTTTTTCTTTTGTTAATTGAGAGCTGAGTTGATGAGACAGCCACCTGTCAGTGACCTTGCTGGGTGGTCTAATCCCTTCTGATCAAACTAGTACAGATGGCCTTTAAAGGGTATCCTGTGGAAATACTTCTATCCATCCCCGGGGATGCTCAAAGTGCCTTCAAAAGTACTAATATTACCCTGGCTTTAGCCCATAGCTGCCCAGCTACCATTGAAGGAATACATTCCTACTAGGTACCCATTTACTACACCAGGGTGGAAAGTGGCAATTGTAGATTAATATCTTGCTAAAAGGTATTAGTATTATTTAAAAAATATATATATATATAAAATTGAACAGTTGCTTATATGCATTGTTTCATGATAACTTCATAGGCCCAAATTCTCAAAGGAGTTTTAAATTTAACCCATGTTTTAAACCCACATTTACATAACTCATGGTCTAAAATTAGTGCAAAATAAGCGTGAAACAGTCAGATGTCCAATATTAAACGCTCGCTAGACAAGGTACGCTTATTTTGCGCTTATTTTTAAACCTTGGGTTATGTAAATTAGGTTTTAAACCATGGATTACGCTAAACCTCCTATGTAAATTCTGGCCATAGGGTCTGAGTATGCAGAATATGGCATCCATGAAGGTTTGATCAATTTGAGCAATAAGATCTGGATTTCTTTAAATCTAATTAATGATTGATGATATGGTTCACAAGTCATCTTCATGTTAGTTCCTCCTTTCCAAGGTTGAAGAATGTCAATGGTTTTAGCATAGTACTTTAGTCAACATAATTTGGAAGAAAGGATGTCTGAAAACAACTCATAAAAACTTTTCATGGATTGTCTATTTGGAGGAACATGAAAAACAAAAATCACAACAGCACCATATTATCTATCTAAACAGGCAAAAATTTATCCAGAGGCCACGCAGAAAGTGAATATGGTGCCCTGCTTACTGGCATCAATGCCCCTCACTAAATGACAAACCTTATTAAAGGCCACTGTAGCCCGACCCTATTGCTATCATACAATTTAAACATTTCATGCACCCCTGATTAGCCATATTGAAATCTTTTAGAAAAAGTGACAACACGAAAGGAATGTGTACAATGCACATTACCACTGTTTGCAAAATACTTCACAAACTAGTTTACAAAGGAAATATTGAAAAGTCAAATATTGGACGATTGCTCAGCTTGAAGAGAACTAACAGAATAACATACGAGATTTAAATTAAGAAATGATTTCAATGCCGTCCCGTCCTGGTACTACATGTATGTTTATAATCATTTTATTTCTTCAATGGGGGGGGGGGGGGGTGGCAAGGGGGAGGGAAATTAAGACTTTTTCTGTCCACACCCCAATATTGAAATCTAATATGCCAAGCTCCATAAACTATCATTCCTACTAAAAAAATCCATAGAGACTATTTAGTAACATGAGACTGTCCAACAAAGTTTTCTACAATAAAAGAAGTGAAAGAGTCTCTGACTTATATCTACATGTTCACGTAAGTATGTTTTCCGTCCATATTGAACAAAACCGAAACCAATATTTGTTAAGTATTGTATGAAATATATCAACCACTTCCTCTGGGAATACCAACCCTAGTATCTTACATGGTCTACAAGTCATTAAAGTTTGCAAGCACATTCAAATTTTTTACATATTGCTCCAACATTCAATTCTTAGATAGGGGGGCACAGAATTGTCTTTGTAAATCTTTAAATTGCATGATTTATAACCTACTTGCTTTCATCACACATCCAAATGATACACTAGAATGTTTGACATTAATAAATGATCTATTGAGCTTTGAGGGCTGTATTATGTTCCACGAATGTTAAAGTTTGTAAAACGGATTGTATTCTCCTTAGGGCTGTTTTTTTCCTCTTTCTAAACCACTTCAATTTAATTCAACCCTCTGATTTCGTGGTAAAGTACATTGCATGATATAGAGTTCTCTCATATTGTTGATGGGGTACATATATACCTTCTACTGCTTTAACAAGAACTAACAATGGTTATGAGCATTTCCTTGCTGAGTTTTTTGTATGATATTTGACTTTTTCATTAAAAAAGGAATTGTTATTTACTACAGCTAGCACTGACTATTAATTCTTTCGGTATCAGTACGATTATTCCCTGGTCATATAATGAGATTTTTCATTTTTTGATGAGCTAGATGGACAAGAGTTATATGTCGTACAGGAAACACTGCATGAAAGATATTAGAGAGAACTTACCGCTTTGGGATGTTCTGTGGAGAAGTTGATGACGAGCCAGGAGCCGACATCTTGTGTGTTTTGGATGCTGAGGTCTAGTTTGCGGAGGTGGGAGACGAAGCAGGTGTCGCGCTGGGTCGCTGGCCACACCCTCTTCATCAGCTGGTGAGAGATGACTGTATCCTGGGACAGTACCTCCAGTGTGTTGGTTATGTCTAATGTAGCTGAAAAGAAAAAAACATCCGTCTTTAATACAAGCAATATCTGGAAACAGTATCAGGGATTACGCTATTATTGCTAATCTTATTATTAATACTAAATTACACTCTTCCTCCTCTTCCTGTTTCTTCTTCTCCTTTCCTTCTCCTTCCCCTTCCCCTCCCCACCCCTCTCTCTCTCTCTCTCTCTCTCTAACTCTAACTCTCTTCTTCTTCTTCTTCTTCTCCTTCTCCTTCTCCTCCTTCCCCCCCCCCCCCTCCTCCCCCTCCTCCTCCTCCTCCTCCTCCTCCTCCCCTTTCTTCTTCTTATCCATCTTCTACTCCTTCTAACTATCTCTTCTTCCTCTTCTCCTTCTTTTCCTTCTTCATCTCATCATCGTTATCATAATCATTCAATGTGGAATGATGTTGGGTGAAGTACTTACTGTCCCATTCCATTCTGACATTGACATCCCAGAAGGTGAAACACATTTCTTGACTGGTCACGTTCCTGATGGTATGGGTAGCTTTCAGAGGGTCGCATACCACTCCATCTATCTCCTGCTCACTCTTATACACCTGTAGAGAGAGAGAGAGAGAGAGAGAGAGAGAGACATACAAAGACAGAGAGACAGAGAGAGAGAGAGACAGAGAGAGACAGACAAACAGGAAGAGAGAGAGAGAGAGGGGAGAGAAGCATAGGGAAACAGAGAGAGGGAGAGAGAGAGTGGGGGAGAGAGAGAGAGGGGGAGAGAGAGAGAGGGGGAGAGAGAGAGAGGGGGAGAGAGAGAGAGGGGGAGAGAGAGAGAGGGGGAGAGAGAGAGAGGGGGAGGGAGGGAGAGAGGGGAGGGGAGAGAAACATTGAGAAATAGAGAGGGAGAGAGAGAGGGAGAGAGGATAAGAGAGAGGGGATATACATTATAATAGCAAGATGGTCAATAAGATTTAATGCCAATGTGAAATACCGGAAATAATACAATTTTGTACTAAATTTTGTATGCTTTTTTATCATCATTATTTTAATACCTTAATGATTCATTGAAAACCTACATAAATAAAAGAGTCAAGAAAGGAGAATTAAAAATAACATAACACTGCTACTACTTACTATTTATTTATAGAAATGAGTAGAGAGAATCAATGTTTATAAAATGCCATGGTATAGCTGTCTCAGAAATAGTATATAAAACACTTATAACTAGAATAAATCATGGAAATATGTCAGGATTAAAAAAAAAAATTATGTAATATGTCTCAACTCATAGCAGATGACAGTGTTTTAAAGGTTGAATAAAATCACCTTCAATTTCTTCCTAAGATTGACACCAATAATTGTTATTCCCACTCCCACATGGTTTAAAACAAATTAAAATGTATACAAACTGAACCAATATGAATGAAAATGACAAAACGCTATCAAATAATTGCCCATTTGTACACAATATAAATATAATTTCACACCACATTGCCAATTTAGAGTTTGTAATTATTATGTACAATTAAAATATTATTCTTATTCATGAAAGGCCCAACATACTGCATTAGTAATGAGCCCAAAATTGTCCGTGATTTTTGCCTTTTGCTGCTCATCTAATGTGTTTAAATTTATTCCTAGAATTATTGATTAAAAGATTTATAAAAAAAAACTTTTATTAAAAGGTGACATTGAAGTGCTTGGGGTTAAATGATACAGTAGTCACTAACTTTTTTCTTTCGTTCTTTTATGAATTACAATTTACATGACTTTATTTGGGGTTAATTAAGAAGAGAATATTGTATTTACCAATAATGTTTAACAAATTGGAATTTTATAGTTCGAATAAGTTTCTGAAATATCACAATATCAAGAATGCAGAAAAGATGGAGGGTAGACAAACATTTGAGGGAAACAAAATTACCTCTGGCACCAATGTGTCATGGCTGACAAATTAAAAAAGAGAGCAATATATTGTGAAGAGGAAGACTAATTCTCTTAAGAGATTCATGGTTGCAAATTATACTTTTCAAAGGAAAAAAAGAATTACAAAGTTTTGTAATGGAAGATGTGGATTGGTTATTAGGTACCCTATCAATACTAAAAAGTGAAACAAATTGAATATCTTCTTACGATCATTAACCCGTACGTGACATGAATAAAGTGCTTCACTTCCTACATGTAGTTTCATACAAAATATTTGAAGAAAAAAAAAACCCTCTTGAATGTGGAGTAACCGTAATATGAAGACTTGTTTACGCTTTCGATTAGTTTATATAAACCAAGGTTGTTCAAACCAAAGTCAATTGCTCAATGGATAAAACGGCATACATGTATTACTGATAAAGGTAACACACAATATTGTTGGGGGTCAAGGATTTGACACAGATCTTGACTGAATATCTTTCATGTATAAATGGGTGTGTGTAGGGAGGGGGGGGGGGGCTGTTGATATCCACCTCTTCATGTAGTTCATACTAAATGTACCATGTCTGCACTGAAACGATAAGTCAAGATGTGCTCAATTCTAAACATGAACAAAATGAACCACAGCAGTAAATTGTTGCCACTTGCCAAAGATTCTTGCTCCAATAATGGCAATTGTTAACAATATGGAAAATTGTAACTATTATTTTAAGGAACTTTCAAGGTTTTGCAGCAGCTATCCGGTACAAAAGAAAAGGTTTAATTTTTAAAAAGGGGGGCACTCTAATACATGGGTTTCAGCTCCAACTTGAAATCAGTCGGAAACATTACAAGCCAATAAATACTCCTTTGCATGGGGGCAACATTGGGTAAGTGCATCTACCTCAGTTCTACGTTCAAAGCTAAGGGCTGATTTTCACACACACAGTGCCTTCTTTGTAAAACCGGAGACTATAAAACCCGACCCCCAAAAAGATCACCTCAAACAATTAAAAATTCCAGAATATAGAATGTGTCAGACAAAAAATATGACAATGATGATGAAGAAAAGAGTCATGGAAGCGTGCTCTGAGAGATATGACCCTGTTTTTTTATTAGGAGTCGTTCTTTTATCTGTGTCTTCTCTTTCTATGGACTGTGGGAATGACGGTTCCCATAACTAGACACACACTGCTGGGTCAAGGCAACTTGTCTTTATTTTCGTTTCGAAAGTCAGTTGGTTTTAAAAATAAGAACACAAATGTTTGGCGAGGAACTTACAAGGCTGGTTCTGTGTTAACGTTTAATTGAATTGGAGTTCATGTACATGTAACTCCTCATTTTGTAATAACCTTTTTTTGGTGGGTTTTCTTTTGAGAGAGAGAAAAATGTAATATTGTCTGCTGAGAGTGAAAAGGGATCTAACAGCATTTTATGCAGAATTAAAGGAACATCCAACCGTAATAGACAACTACTCTAAAGGATAGCACACGATTCAGAGAAGCAGACTAGTGAAATATCTCAGGGATTTGTATTTTAAAAAGAGAGAAAAAACAACAACAAACAAACAAACAAACAATTGACTGAAATATGACAAAAAATGAGAATGTTACACATTTTTAAAAGTTGTAATCACTATATGTATGGGCACTTCAAATTGGCTGATTTGTCACAGAGACATAGTGCCGGACAACTTTCCCATTTCTTTCACCACACACAGAAATTAAAATATCATTTTTTTCAAAATATATGACTCTTGGGTCTTCTTTATTTAGAGGAACTATACTTGTATGCTATCCATAAGATATTTAAAGTAGTGCCCATACAGGAGAAGGCACTTGGGAGAAAACAGAGATATGTTACAAGTACACAACAAATGGGTTGTGCGAGATGTCCATGACTATATACACAATCCACTGACCAAATTGCCGATATGAGATCCGCATGATTGGTGATCTCATATTTCAAATATTCATAATAATTCATATTATTGGTCAGGTTTATTTAAAACTTTCGCCATTCTGTATCTCTTATTTTTCTGCCTTCATACAAATGGGGGTGGGGCATGCGTAGGTTCGAGTAGGTACATGTATTAAGAATGTATTGAGATGGTATGTGTATATGGACATTGATGCTCTTTAATGAAATCCCCCATGTATATGTTAAGGCTTCTGTATGATATTTTAAGGTTTTGTCTTGTGTTTTCTAGTTGTATATATTGTTTTTGTTTTCTTTCTCATATTTACTGTTTAAAGGTATAGTTTTGTTAGTATTTAAAAGTCTGGCCTACTATATATTTATTGCATTAACCATTTTTTTAAATATCTTTCTCATCGCGCCATGTCAAATTAATGACTATCTTCTTCATCATATTTTGTATGGAACCATTTCTTTACAAGCTTTGATTTTTATTAGGTTTCGTCATATTTCATTATCAAATAAATGTATTTGTCTTAGAAACATGTAAAAGCTGTTAAATAACTTGATCGATATAAACTAAATTTGCAACATGTTTCTAATTATCTTTTGTGTGATTATAATGACAAAGAATTGTTTTATATTTTAATATTTGTATCATGTAAAATATGGTAAAAAATGTACTGAAACTAAAACTGAATAAATAAATCCATCACATGAGTTGATTGCCCTTGTAATACACTTCAGGAATAATTATGTAAAACGTGGAGCACCTGTCTCTCTTAGCAGTAAGATACACATGACATGATAACTATAATAAAATATCATCTGAGCAATATCAATAAATGTCAGATAATACTGATATTGAAGGTCATGACTGAATTTTTCTTCTAATCTAACTACATGCATTCTCACGTACTCGGACTTTGTACATCTTGAACATGTATACCTACTCGTTTTGACATAAAACAAGATGGGTCATTGATTACTGCATATTACTAATCATAAATACAGTATTAATGGTCTGTGAATTCCTGCATAAGGTAAAGTAAACAATTTGTTTGGCCCCAAATCTATTAAACACTGTATTCTTAACATGTTACTATGTTTTATGTCAATAATAAACTTTTACATGTCTGCACAAGTCTCAATTAGGGTTTTCCTCCTTCAATTTACTCTTTTAGAACTGATGATTTTTCACATTTACTAATTGATTCTACAAAAAACACCCTATACAAAATTGTTTACAACTGGTGGACTTTGCTTTAAAAGCATGAGATGTCAGAAATATTTCCCTATCATCTTTGAATTTCAGTTCACACATCATTTGTATTGTATATCACTCCTATCCTTCTAAATACAACTCAAACCCATTTAGCTTTCAGCAGACTTCACCCATGATGTGATCAATTCAATTTTATAATTATGTCAATAACAATTATGAACTTCATTTGAAACCTAGATTTAAAGTTCTGATCTCAAAAGGCAAAGTGACATCATTGATTGACAATGCAGAAGCTGAACAATCAATGGCATCCTAAGGAGGAAGTTGAAATTTAAAAAAAATCTTATTCATAGCGCAAACATTACACCACCAAAAGTAATCATTAACTCATGACATGATAATCATGAACTTTTAATCTTTAAACTATATTCAAGTTCCTGATTGAGGGATTTTGCCTCCTAAATAAAAGAAAAGACTTCAAGTGTTCTCAGGTATCAGAAAACTTTAAAGGCATCGTTTAACAATTTAAATCTGAGATACATTGTCCTACGTGTTATC